ACTATAAGGCCAGGCCATCGCGCCCCTACTAGGGCGGCCGCTCACAGGGAGGCGTTCCAATTAAAGAGAGAGACATTTATCCTTACAACAACAAAATAGGCACTTGTGAGATGACGGTATGCTGAAACTACAACTCATAAACAAAATTTTTGTATTATATTTTATTTAGCATATTATATCGTCCATTATTGCGAACGTTAAGTTTACATTCGTGTATNCTCATAAACAAAATTTTTGTATTATATTTTATTTAGCATATTATATCGTCCATTATTGCGAACGTTAAGTCTGACATTCGTGTATTTAGTTTACTTTGTTTATGAGCTTTTGGTGATTTGCACTCTTAAATCTGATCTATGAATTAATCATTGAACCCCCGGAGGGTACTCCCATATGCTCGTCGGAAATTTTGGAAAGAATCCATAAGAAGTGCCATAGTGAAGTGCTTGGCTTGATTTTTTTCTTTACCCCTAAGCCGGTACCATTTCTAACACAAGAAATTATCGCCTGACATATTTTTTCGGCTCAATATCCTGAAAAGTACCGCGAAAACTCCCCCTGTCGACCTTTGAGGCTGAACACCCTTAACCCTAAGGGGTACGACGAGCACCCCCCGGGCCTTGTTATAGGGGAGTCCAGCCCCTGGGGTATGAACAGCAGCGCTAGCCGACTGTCCGTAAAGAGATATTTGCATCTTTTGGTATGAAGTCTTTTCGCAGCTGTTATTGGGGTCACCAAAAATAACAGCAGTAAGTTTTAAAGCACATATTCATTAACGAGGACGTAAATAAAATTTTATACTTTGGAGAAATCGTAGCGTATATTCTTTGTACATTCTTTATACACTGGATCTTTAATGGACTACTTTGCCGATGCCACGCTTTCCCAATATTTGTTTGCTTGTTTGTTTGTTTGTTTGTTTGTTTTTTTCATTCCAACAAAAAACTAAGCCTTCCTGCTCCATTTACTAAATTCGACATGATAAACTGATCTATGGAGGAGGTTTTCTGTTTGTACGAAAAATWCSAAAAATTGTTGATATGCSAACATTGGCGAAGAAGTRCATTGCATTTACCGGTATTTATCCTTTTACCTTAATAAATACTTTTGTGGAATATAAATATCCGTGGTCTGTTTTTCTGTACACAATAAACATTTACCTAGCTTTGTCATAAAAAGAACTATCAAGAATTCGGGCCTAGTATACAATTTTACAATTTTGTGTTCTGTATGTACACCATCATTGAGGGGTGGCCTTTCTTGGTGTATATAATAAAATAGAAAATGTAGACATAAATTTAAATATTAAAACGCCAAGAGAACTCTTTCTATAAACAGAAAATGTAATGCAAAGTAATGGGCGTGACTATGGGCGTGGCTATGAGCGTAGCTAGGGGCGTGGCTATGGGTGTAGCTACACTTTGTTATTCTTGCAAGGAATTTTCTCTATGCTCGTTATCTTGGATGGGTGTTTGGAGTTTGATATTTTCAGAGATAGTATTCCTCAACCTATCCAAGAATGCTTCTTTTTTATCATGAGATGTGTTGTTGATTCGGGCCCGTAAAGAATCCAACAGCTTATCCAAGAGGTCGAGGCTTGTGGAGGCCCCAAATCGTCTGTTCAGTTGAACCCGACTGAAAAGAAGAAGAGACGATGGAAGATTTTAAAAACTATTTCCTAAAACCTTCAGGAGAGAGTTGTGAAAAGTCTCAGCTTCGTTCCAGTGCTTTTCCCTTAGAGATTGGGAGGGGCCCTGGGAACGATGATATGAGATCGTGCTCTCTCTCGGCAGAGGGCTTTTTTAGGCCCACTTTCTTTAACCAGAAAGAAAATGAAAATTGATCACTATGCACGTTTTCAGCGATATGAGGAGTAGAAAGTCGGTAAACTACTACGGTAAACTACCATTTTCAGCCTTCCTTCAATTTAAAGGTAGTTTTGTATGAGGCCAAAATAACTCAAAATACCATGACTGAGCTCTTTTAACAGAGTTGGGGCAAAAAACAATAGAACATAGAACGGAAATAATGAGCCTTAAAACAACAGGGGTGGGTGAAACAGGGAATGAATGAAATTACAGCTAAAACCTCCAGGTTAGTTGAGAACACAACACTTGTGAACTGTGGTTTACAGAAGTGACAGCTATACTTACAAGGGATATCTTCTGTAATCATCCGCTATGCTTCTAACTTGTTCCACCGTGTCGTCCTCGTCAGCTTCATCTCCGAACACCTCGTAGTCAAATTGGTACGGCAATCTGTACTGGCCAGCAGACTCCCACTCGTCACTAACTGTCAAGCATCTTATTTGTGATTGGTTGGATACATTACTGTAATTGTACGGACTGACGATGATTCCAATGAATGGCGCGCCACCCTTTCCAAACCATTCCTGTAGAAAATTAATAAAAGCAAGATGATCCACTGATGTAAACAAAGAGGGGGGATGTTTGCTAACGCATTTGTACTACTTAGTAAGCTCTTCCCTTACCAACGAACACTCTTCGCCCCATTTTTGGTATACATTAATGTAAACAAGTACAACCTTCCCCCTTCTCCAATTCCGATATTGTGCTTTTTCTTTGTAAAACTACAGAAACTGCAGATTTGTGCCCATTGTGGTGACCGAACTTGACTTGGCGTGAGTAGCAGAAACTCAAAGTGTTACACACCTCCCATTCTGGCATGAAAGAAATAACTTCGTCCTACAAAAGACTATATATAGACGAAAATGTAATTCCATACTCCTATAATTTTCATCCGTTTTGTTTCCCCGAGAACTCCGAAAATATTCCAGCTAAAACTCAACAAACTAGGGACCTGAAAGCAACACACTTGATCACTTTTACGCACAAGGAATTTACCACAAGTCTTAATTCTAAAACCATACCTGGAATTTGGCTTGAGTCTCGATATCACGCACAGAAGGAATTGGAGCGAATGTTGGATGCGAGTGGTACCAGCCCACAACGGCCAGTCCTCGCAGAGCCAATTCCTCAGAGGCCTGGGTCTGGGATACAGGATCCATTTCACATTGTAGTCCTGTGCTTAAACTCCGACAAGGTATGGCCTTGGAAACCTGATGAAACAACAAGGGAAAGCCAGGAACGATCAACGAATCTATCAGCCGTGCACACAAGAAACAACCAATCACTGAGCTACATGATCAGTATGGAATTTTTCGGGTCCAGTCTCACGCGATCTCGAGTGGGGGAAGAATTAAACGCGCAGTGATCACAACAACAACAGCAAAGAAAACATTATGGGACAAGTTTATTTCAAAGTTTGTTTCTCTACCTCTAAATAGAAGCCATGCTTCATCTAATTTGCTTCGCACCAAAACATTCAAACTCGAAAGGAAAAAATCGCTGAAACATTACCAGTTGAACAGAATTTATATAAGTACATTGCAAGGCAATTTATTACCTTCAATTTCCTCGAATCATGCGAATAAGTGCCTCCTAAAAGACCAATCACCTCGGTAGTTGACATATGTGCATGCGTGTCCATGACCACCAATGTTTCTGATTGGATAAGAACATCAAAAGGCACAGCACTACGTGTTGGGAACTTGCGGCACGGAACAAGAAGGAACGGGTCGTAAGAGGGCTTGTTTCGCGAGGGCCTTTTCCTGGGTACTGACGGAGAGCCCTTTTCATTATGGACCTCTTCATGTTGAACTTGCTCATTTGGTGACAAATGCTGAAATACAAATAGTATGGCTTAATGGAGGCTTTTCATTTGGCATTTTACGATTTTTTTTTTCTTTTGATCTTCTGCTAAACAAAATTCCTCCCACCCCTTTCCGGCTAATTTATGACCCAATGGATGAAGTTAAAGATATCACATTTTTAACCTTCCATTAGCAGACACATCTCTCGATGAAAATGTTTTCTGGAGGCAAGGTTACGAGTAATCCGCGATCAGGGCAAACTAAGAACCTCTGATCAGTTTATATTGGTTGGGGGAGGGCGCTTCCACCGTTCTAACAATGTAAGACGTCCACAACAAGGAACCAACAGAACTGACAATAACAAGGTACGACTCACTTTCGATTGGTTTTCGTCGTAAGTTCTGTCATAAAAGATCACATACAATTAGCGTTTACTTGCATGTTCACTTTCGTACAACTCTAACGTATTTTTGTACCAAGACTCGCTTTGAAACCGAGGCAAAATGTAAGCCGGAAATTCCCTGTTACCTGTATTGTCATCCCTTCCGCTTTGCTAGAGTCGACCCAGTCTCCGTCCATATTTCTCTGTCGCTTCTTCCTAGGCCTTAGCGAATTTACCCAGGATTCCATGTGGAAGGGTTCCTTTACATTGGTGACCTCGCCTTGCTCTCTAACGCGTGGAACCGGTCTTTCAAGACATCCTTCGTTTATAGCTCCAATGTCCTCTAGGAAAGCATGTACTCTTCCGATAGAGTTCACGTCACCGCAGTTTCGAAGACCGCTTCGCACGGCCGTTTTGAAAAGAAAATTTGGTTTAGTTTTCTCCCACATGTCCAGAATATAGTTGCGAATTTTCATGTATCTTTCCGGAGTCTTGAGAGCGCGCCCCATAAAAAACTCCATATTATGTTCTTTTTCTACGTCTTGAATAATATTTCTGTCGATAACAATTGAAGTGTCGAAGCTTACGTTTGCCCCAGGGTGCTCGCGATCCGAGGACTCAATGAATTCAGAGCTGGTAACTTCACCACACGTCACTGGCGCCCAGTCCTTGTCATTGGGCAACGGTTGCTGTGGACAGGCAGCGATGACATCAAGTGGAGCATTGTCAACATTGGACCGAGTGTTTTCCAGAACCAAATTTTTATCGCTGATGTCATCAGGAAAATGTTTACCCTCAAGAGACAAACGCTGTGCATAGTCTTGTGTCAAATGGCAATCATCTTCTAACACATAACCTAAGTTATCTGTGTGACCCACATTACTTTTTATCTCTTTGTCAAGTATACTTTNATCAGTCTTGGGTGGCATGATCCAGGCAAAAAAGTGAAAATTGCCCTGGCCGTTTGTCTTGGTTACGTCACCAAAATGAATTGTCCGCGACGGCCTGGGACAACGCCGTACAGGAACTGGTTAAGGTTGCGTGTTTTAATTTTTGGCGCCGAATTCTCATTGGTCAAATTATGCGTTGCCTGGTAAGTGTTTGAGTTGTTTCTTGTGTTTGGCTGGATGTAATGACTTGGTTAATTATTAAAATGACCGCTCTCTAATGAGTAACAAAAACGTTTTTATTATATGTACCTGGAATTAAACAAGGGTTAACCTCATCGCTGTCCGATCCATCAATATCTACTTCAACATCTTCGTCCGATTCATTCTGCGGTCTGTCTTTATCTACAATTGACGACACAAATGTATTTTGAAGGACCTTTTCATCCTCTAAAACACTATCTTCATTTACCACATCCTCTACATCAGCAAGGACAAGTCTGTCCTTGGACTGTTCTTCTGTACTTCCTTGTATTGCTTGGGACTCTGCGAGAACTTTGTTCTGTGGAATATGGGTAAAATACAGAATACTTTGAAACCTGTAAAAATACGAGTCGTAAATATATTACTGACAGTATTTTGTTGTGATTTTTGTAGCCGGTGCGTCTTTAAACCCTCCGTCCCCTGCTAGTGAGACGTTGGGGACTGGACCAGACAAATTCCACGCTGATGACGAATGACTCTACAGAGATGCGCGCGATCTGATTGGTTGTTACTTGGGCGCGAAAATTCGAAACCGAGCAAGAACCAATCACAAACGATGTAGAGCTACATGTTCTCTGGCATTTCTTCATAAGAAGTATGGAAGTCTGGTAGCTGATGTTGTTTTTTACCTTTTGTCTGAAATACTGCTTGGCATAGTTTTTCACTTGGAGTGCTGTTCGAGTATCAATCATATTTGCTATCTTGGTCCAACTACGTCCATACAGCCTCTGAAATTTAAACAATTTAGAAATTTAAAACCTTAACTGCAAGACTTAGACCCGGCAGTCATGTTCAACGCTACACCAAGAGGATCAAGACAGGATTCCATAATTTTTTCACTCTTTGGAGGTCTAATGAGAGCTAAATTGGACGATGGAAATGTTTTCTGTTGTTTTCTCCTCTTGGTCAAGCCCATACCAGAAAATTGACTGTTGTTGATAACGCCATAAGCAAGAGAAACAGACAAATACGGGTATATTTAAAATTCTGTCTGTAAAAATTAACTAACTGCCCCGATATGCTAAAGGAAGGCTTGACCCTACTTACCAAAATCGCAGATCACTAGAAACTTACCAGCCCCTGTTCAAAACGTTCCTGTTCATCAACTGTCCAGGGTTTCCTGTGAGTCACAGACGGCTGCTGATCCCTGTACACACAAGCAATATAAGAGCTCAGTTGAAAACCCATTATTAGTAATTCTGGATTCTCTCGGAATTCAGTTACCACAGTACTGTTCCTCAACACAGGAAATGGACACAGGTTTGAAGTGCTGTTAGCACATTCAAATTTGCCACAACATGCTGTTTGACAGATTTAAATGCTACCTGCTTAGCGCAGTGGGTAGAGTACCAGACTGTGCAGGAGGTTGAGGGTTTGAGCCCCAGACCAGACCAACACAGGGTCTTAAAATAACTGAGGAGATTTTGCTACCTTTGTAATTACATCTACAAATCGTTAGACATTCAAGTCTTCTCAGATAAGGACTATAAACTGTACGCCCAGTCGTCTACCTCTTCAGTGTTACATGGTTAGCAGGGGACATTAAAGAACCCACACACTTATAGCAAAGAGTAGGGCACGGAGCTCCCCATTTTGTGGTTTGGCCTTGTCTCATGGGTTGGTGCTTCATATAGGGTTAACCTCATTGCATCATTCCACCTTGGGCAGAATTATCCAAGAAAAATTACTACGCCTATGTCTGTCTGTGTCTAAACCAATTTACTTGTGATAATTGTGTGGCTGGACTTTTGTGCAAAGTTATTAATTAAATAAAACTATTAAACAAGTATAACATCAAATATGCACTCTGGCTCTTTTAACTTACAGTATATAATAATATCTTACTTTTTAGCTTTTGCAGCGCTCTTTTTAACACTTGCATTTGACATTCTTGTGGAAAAAGATAATGACAACCATAATGATTAAAATTGCATGTCTCGAGGAACAAAAAAGGAGAACATTATAGGGTAAGGCAGACAGGGTAAGGCAGAGAGTAGGATACAGTTACTATATCATTGTCATTAGTTGCTGGGAGTTCAAACAGTCGTCATACAAATTATACAAAACTACCAGTGGCTGCATTAAGCCCCTATCGAAATTCTTTGTGGGCATGTGTAGTTAAAAGCATGATAATTAACAATTAGACCCATAGCCCACAAGGGCTACAGGTCAATAGCCCATGAGGCGAAGCTGAATGTGCTATTGACCCGTGGCCCTTGAGGGCGAAGGGTCTAATTGTTTTAGTATCACCCAACTAGTCGGACAGAAAAGGCAATAATAAAGTTAGCAAATGC